CACCAAAAAAAAAAAAACAAAAACCAACAAAAAACAAAAAACCAATCAAAAATGAACAAACAAACAAACAAACAAAACTATAGTAAAAATATCCAGAGACTGGACCAGAAGAAAAGGCAGAAGGGATGAGAGTGAGACAAGGAGAGCAAGCTACTAGGTAATCTAATGGTAGAGCCTATATCTAAGATATCCTTTGAAGAAATTAAATCAATTTGGTATCAGTTTATAATTGATTCTATTCTGTAACTGATCCTATTCTACTCCGCTTTGCAAGATTGCTCAAGCTACCTTATGATATCCTTGAGATGAGTCCATGAACTCACTTTCCCCTCTAAGTTAATTTAAAGTTATAATTAAAAGAAAACTATCCCTCATACCTTATCTATCTCTAAAGGCCTACAAGCTGACTTGGTGTATTTCCACAAGACATATTTTCTGTCCTTATGTGATTAGGGGAGTTTTTATCTCTTCCAAGAAGACAGTAATTTTGGAAGTTTTAATCTCCTAGCAAAGATGACAAGATGTGGATGGACCCCATGAAATAATGAATATTCCTTAATTGTCAGAGAGGGGTGGCTCCTAGCCCCATGCGGATGCTAGCTTGCTTACTTTAAAATGATCAATCATGTTGTCCCCACCAACATGATGCTGTCTACCCTGTAACCAATCACATTGTCTTCCCCACCTACCCAATGCAATACTCCTCAAAACTATATTAAGGCTGGTGAGCTCTAGTTTGGTGTCTTTGGTCATTGAGAGAGGCCATTGACCCAATTTATTGATTACTGCTAGCCTAACTAATAAATTGATAGTGTTTAGAGTCTAAGCACTTTCATTAAGGGGATTTGTCCTGTGAAGTTTGGATTCAGTCAAAGGGCCACACTTCAGGACCTAGAGGGCCACATGTGGCCTTGAGGCTGCAGGTTCCCCACCCCTGGCTTAGACCACTGTCTCTCAGTTTACCTTAATTTTTAAACTTAACACCTTCCACATCTACTTTTTCTCTCTCTGTCTCTGTCTTTTTGTCTCTCTTGCTCTGTGGCTCTCTGTCTGTCTGTCTTTCCCATATCAAGGAAGAAATCCAAGACAAATACCATTCAGGATTCAGGAACCCTCGTACATAGGAAAATTCTCACTTAGACCAGTTTCCCTTCAGTACCCCAAACAGAGGCAGGATCCTCTTGCAATTTTACCTTCACAATCTTTTCTTGAAATTCCATGTTGGTCACTGAGAAGCACCACATTCTTATGGACTTTGTTGCTTTCCTTACCTTGGCTTCTGGAGCATCCTCAAACTGCTGTCTGACATATGTGTCAAAAGCATCCCAGTAGATTTCAGTCAGATTTCCACCCACAGCCCACAAATAGCAGAATGCAAAGGTCTGGCATATTATACTGTTCAATTTTCCTTGTTCCTAAAAGACCAAATGGAATCCTTTAAGACAATTGTAGATAGCTTTTGAAAAACAGTCAACAATGATGAAACCCCTCTCTGCACGGTCTCCCCTCTCCACTTTTTCCAAGGGCAACTTGCACTTTTAAATGGTTGAAGCAGTTAGGTAGCACAGTGGCTAAAGCACTGGGCCTGGAGTCAGGAAGACCCGAGTTCAAATCTGGCCTCAAACACTTAATGGTGTGTGACTATGGGCAAGTCACTTAACTGCTGTCTGCCTCAGTTTCCTCAACTGAAAAATAGGGATAGTAACAGCACTTAAGGATTGTTGTGAGGATCAAATGAGGTAATATTTATAAAGCACATCACAAACTTTAAAGTGTTACATAAACGTCATTACTTCCACATAAGCCTGAAAGGACCATACAGATGCATACAATTTTTAGTGGGATGTTTACCAAGGATGGGGGAAAAATTAAGTTATAGAATGATAAGCTACCGAGGATGGCCACACTAGTCTGCTAATGTATATTGAAAATTACATATCTGGCTCCTGATTATTTTTACTTTGTCCCTTAGAAAGATCATAGATATAGAATTGGAAGGGACCTTAGACTGCATCTAGTCTAGCCTCTTCTTTTGACAAATGAGGAAGCTGAGACCCAGAGATGTTCAGTAATTAGTGGTAGAGCCAGGATTCAAACTCAGGTCCTGTGATTACAAGTTCAGCAGTCTCTCCACTGTGTCCTATTGCGTCTACTTTTCATCAGTATTAAAGTGATAAATATGTATCCGATGTTCTATTCAAACATCTTGTCCATTTCACAAAGTAGAAGATCAGAGGCTAAAATAGAAATGATCCACAGTTTCAAACGCCTGAGGATTGGCTTTTATTTCCCCCAAAGGAAAATTCCTTGTTTGGTCCTATAAACACCCAATATCTTCTTCAGCCTGTCTGTAAATCAAGAGATTTATTGAACATTTCACCTGTGCATGACTATGCTGAGTTATGTCCTTCACTAAGTTTTCCAGAAAGCTGTGATTATTCACCCAAATTTCTGGAGACTCTTCTGAGGGTGACCTCAGATTGGACATGGCGTGTAGTAATATTTTTATTCTCTGTTTTAAGGGTTATGAAGCCCCTTCCTGCTTACAGCCCTGGATGAGGAGGGTAGTGACGTATGCTTGCTCTGGACTTTCCCCACCCCCATCCAGTCCACTCTTTTGTCCCCATCCTTCCCGTCTCCTCCTTTCTGCTGTGCCCTGTGGAAATTTGTTTGACAAAGGTAATCTCAGAGACAAGGCCCTGGAGAATCGGTGGTAGGAACATAAACTTCAGGAACAAGTCCTTACCCCATTTTCTTGGCCATTACCCCTAAGACATAATTCCTTTTTTGGCCCAAGTCCTCTGAATTTCAAGATGACCTTTCCTCATGAGCTCCCTTATTTGACTTTTCTCTAAACTCCCTAATTAATTATTAATTATAAGCCCCTCAAACTGGTCTTTTCTCTCTTCCCCCTATAACTTTTTGCTGACTTAGAGATTACACTTTTTACATTCTACTTTGTATATGGAAATGATTTGTGTGTGTGTGTGTGTTAAATTTAGAGTTTTTAAAAATTTTAATTATTTCCAATTTATCCTGCATATAGCTTGTTTGTGCATTGCTGTTTGCATGTTGTCTCTCCCATTAGATTGTAAGCTCCTTGAGGGCAGGGACTGGCTTTTGCCTTTCTCCATATCCTCAGTACTTAGTACAATGTCTGACGTATAGTAAGTACTTAATAAATACCTATTAAGTGACTACTACCTAATCCTTTGCATATTTATTTTTGCATATTTGGTTTTTTCTCTGAGATTGTTGGCTTGTTCTGGTAAGGTTACTACACTGCATGGGACTGTCATTGGTTTAAATAAATATGGACCTAGCTCCACTTTTAAGGGAGGCTCACTTTTTAGGTGACAAGCAATAGAAAAGCCACCAGATCCGTCCTCAGACCGTAGCTTGTTTTCAGGCACAAGTAATTTCCTATGAGTTGAATGGAAGTCTGACATCAATAGTAATAATAGCTCACATAGGCAAACGAGGCTGCCTTATAAAGATCATAGATAAAAACCAGCAGAAGTCTCGGTCACAGAATTTTAGAGTTAGGATAGACTTTAGATGTCATCTAGTACCACTCTAAAGAGATGAAGAGGGATGTCCAAGGTGTGGTCTATGTAGGAGGTACTTGATGAAGAATGAGGATTACAAACAAACCTTAGAAAACGGTGGCATTTTCAGAATTTGCATTGATACTTGTCATATTAAAAAAATCATCGTGTTTCTCCCGGAAGGACATAAAACCTAAGTTGTCATCATAGAGTTCATTTATAATTGCTTATGAAAAAATACAAGGTCTTCCCATATAAAAGAAAATATTTTCCCCAATATATATCAATTGTTGTAACTTTGCTGAGATTAAAGGTAATGTTCATACCATAGTTAAGTCAGGTCCATCTTTCCCAAATAGAAGGGACTCCAATAAACAGCAGAGGGTGGTCACTTTGCTGATGTCCACTTGAGGGATAGCTTGATGGCACTTTTTAGTGACAAACTTTAAGCCATGGTCAACATAACGTTGAAATAGACTTAATAAATATTCCCATGTTTCGTCATTCATCTAAAACAAAAAATGAAAATAATTTAATAGTGCTAAAAGATATCTATAATAATGCATTTCATACATTTACTGCTAGGTGGTGTAGTAGAAAGAGTGCTGAGCCTGGAGTCAGGAAGACTTGAGTTCAAATTTACTAGCTGTGTGAGTCCAGGCAAATCATTGTACCTCTGTTTACCTTGGTTTCCTCATCTGTAAAATGGAGATAATAATAGCACATACTTCCCTGGGTTGTTGTGAAGATTAAAGAAGGTTTTTAATCATTGTAAAGTGCTTACACAGTGCCTTGCACATAGTTTATTGCTCAGCCTTCGTTTCCAAAGAGAAGCAATGACATCATGGGTGATATTTTGACTTGCATGTGAATTGGATTTGAGTGAGGCAGAAGTGCACAAAGTTGCCAGCCTCACTCTCTCTTCCAGAATCACTGGAGTCCAGTGGCAGGACGAAAGTCAAGATGACTGGCGATGGCCTGGGATCCACTGGATGACCTTGGTGTCTTGAATGTCTGACCAAGCTCTAAGCGCTCCACAGTGCCTGGAATAAATTGCTCTCCTCTGCCCATTCTGCCAGGAGAAGTCTTCACATGCTTGGGGTAGACATCCCCCTAACTCTCCAATGGGTTTGAGGACTGTAGTTTACCCTCAGCCTGGTTTAGCCCATCTGCCAAGACAGTTTACTGGGGTGTGGTTGTTGTGCATGTTACCGTTTCTTGGAGCTCCAGGTGAGAGTTGAGTGTCAGATGGACACCAAAGGTAGATAAGCAGCCCTGAAAAGCACTAGCAAGCCCTCACCCAGAGAGGTGCTAGTCCTCCCTGAACACCTTCTATAACTCTTTGAACATAGTAAGTATTAAATAAATGTTAGCTATTGTTATTATTATTATTATTATTATTATTATTATGAGTTGGTCCAACAAGGTCTGGTGGAAAGAACACTGACTCTAGAGTCAGTTCCTACCTACAATGCTTATTACTGGTGTGGTCTTGGACAAGTCATTTGACTTCCCTAGGCCTCAGTTTCCTCATCTGTAAAATTAGTGGAGTTGGAATGCATTATCATGAAGGTCCTATTCAGCTACAAATCTATGATCCAAATCCCTTCTGTGACTGACTCTTCCCTTTGTCTTGTAGCTGATTGACTGGGAAGATTTGGGTGATGGTGAGGCTACGTTTTCACATGCAGACTTTTGAAAGTGAAAGGTAGACAAAGCAAGGAGTGTCTTCTCCCAAAGACAAGACCATCTCTCTTGTGCCTGGGCATAGCTGTGAGAGCTCCTCCAGCAGAAGAGCAAGCAAGATCAAGGGGATGAAGAAGGTTCCCACATTAACCCCGCCAGGTTGGTGGGTAGGGCTCCGTGCAGCACAACCAAATGAATAAACAACACAGGAAGGCACCCAGGGAGGAACATGCCTTCTGCAGCAATTAGAGTGAATAACAAGGAGGCCAGCTTCAGTCACGCGGGGAGCTGTGAGTGACAATTCAGTAGCTTCTCCTCCTTGGGCTGGTAGCCAGTTCTGTCGTTTTTCAGTAGTGTCTGACTCTTCATGACTCCATTTGGGGTTTTCTTGGCACAAACACTGCAGTGGTTTGCCATTTCCTTCTCCAGCTCATTTTATAGATGGGAAAACTGAGGCAAATAGGGTCCAGTGACTTGCCCAGGGTCACACAGTTAGTATGTGTCTGAGGCCCATAAGCACTTGAACAATCAGTTCCTTTCACACTGAGTAGGAGCCAGTGACATTGAACTTCTACCAGGTGGAGGGCTGGCATACAGATGCCAACCTGGATGCTAATCCAAATGGTATGACCTGGTTGATGGTTAGGAGATTGAACAAATGCCATAGTGGTGAAAACATGGTTTTCTTTTATCACTCTAATTAAATGTTTTTCTAAAATAATATGTAATACTAACTATCCTGGCCTCTATGTATCCACTCTTACCTCCCTGTAGGACACATCAAGTCAGGAATGTAACAAATGACCTTGGTCAAGTGATTTGTTGATACACAACTCAAAGGGATGAAATGGAAACAGCTATAGTATGAGGGGATCCAAGATGACAATTTATTGGATTGGTGAGGGGACACACACACACACACACACACACATCTAAACAGCTTGAAATTTGGTGCCAGCCATGCAAGGGGTAGAGGTAAGAGGTGATTGACCTGAGAGCCTGATGGAGAGGAATAGGCAGCTTGGTTTGGATGATACCCACAATACCCTTCGGTGTTGTGTATAAGCTTCTATTAGGGGCACGCTCAAACCAGTTTGAACTAGTTTTCAAGATCTAATTGGTAAATTTTCCATATGAGCATTTATACCTCAGAAATCAGCAAATGCCACAAATTAGAGCTTGTTTTATTTAGACCATAGGATCCCACAGTGGGCAACACTACGCACTGTGGGGCATTGGAATGATGGGTGGGGTGGTAGTAGCCTCAGGTGCAATTGAGGGTGTTGAATAAAGTTAAGGAGGTGGTGGAAGCATAAGGAAAGAAGAGAGGATAAGAAATTTTTGAAAAGCTGTTTGTACATGTTTCATCTGTTGTGTAACAGAGTTAAAGTCATAGTGATTACATTATTTTCCAAATAAACACACAAAATGCAAGTTTTAACCAATCAGTGGTCAAATCTGCTGACAGGTCTTAACAAGCAAGTATTGGCAGGCTAGCATGTCGCATTATCAGGAAGTCTGGCATGCATGGGCAGGAATATGTGTGTGTGTGATGACTTGTTTATAATATAATACTGTATGGTTACATGATGCAATATTGCATCACCAAAATTTTGATGCAGGAAAAAGCCATATATTTATAATAAATTATTAAATTTAAGATGTGTCATTAAAACACATTTCATATATTTTGAAATGATGCAAATTAAAAAAAACATTAAAGGGTTAAAAAAAGTAGATTGCCGGGGGGGGGGGCTGAGTAATTTTTTTTTTTAAAAAGGGGGTAGTAAGCCAAATAAGCTTGGGAATCTCTGGTATAGACTTAAGAAAGTGATGGAGAAAATATTAATGATGTAGGTTAAACTTCATGGTATTCTGTATGTACTTTTTTTTGGGGGGGTGGTGGTGAGCTTCTTGTTAAACATTTATCAGCACAGTCCTGGTTACTATACGCTAGAGGGTCAAAGTAAAATATAACCTGAGGCATCATCAATCCTTCAATAAGCATCCTTATCAGAGGCAATTATACTGAACTCTAATTCTAACATTCTTCAAAACCTCTTACACAATATTAACTGTTCAGAATCTCGTTTGGAGGTATGCCCCTACAAAGGGAAGTCCTGCACACAAGGAGACCACATCCAGATGCATTCCTCACCACACACACACACACACACACACACACACACACACACACATACACACAGAGGAATTATTTTCCTAGTCCTTGGTCATTATCTATAGATAATGGCTAGCTCTCCTGATCTCATACAAAAAAGAACCAACCTCATTTCTTTGTGTTTAGGAATGTTCTTATTGTTTAACTGTTTCCTATAAAATCAGAAAGCAGAGTTGTGTAGCACAGTGGAAGACTTCCAAAAATTTACATAGGATGAGATGGATTATTTTTAAATGACTAAGATTCTCAGTAAGGTTCAGGGTTTTGCAATAACCAATTCTAAATGGCCATACCATAAACTTACTTTATCAGAAAAAGTTGTCTTCCATGTCAGGACATATGGCAGCCATTTTAGCTCTTCAGGATCCACGTATACCATCCCACAGCGACTGACTGTTGCGGGAGAGGCAACCCTTAGATCTTGTACCTGAGATGGAAGAAAATAAACCCTAGAAAAAGCTATTTATGATGTTTTCTGGTCCCTCAAAGTCTGGTTTTACTGGCTAAGAATGAGCTGATATTAAGAGAGGGCAGAGGAAGGAAGAGGAAAAGTGATGACACAATGGGTGGAAAAGGAAATCTGAAGTAAAGAGGAACAAGGAAAAGTTTCTCATTGCCTAGATTTCATGGAGATACAATTGGCCTAAGCCATGTTTTTCTGCCCCTTTGGCCTATGTGTCTACGTAGCACATACATAATGCTATGTGTGAGACAGGAGCAGGGTTGGGGATGGCGACAGGATGGAGGCCACAATGGGACTTCAGTTAAGCCAGGATGTGAACATGGAGGGCGAGATGAGGAAGAACAGAAGCAGGAATGGGCAGTGGCAAAAACAGAGAAGGCAAATGAGCAGCTGCAGGGGAATCGGGTGACTGAGTCCCACCCCTAGAGGTTTGGGGAAATATCCCAAACCAAGCAAATGATGTTAGGTCTGCTCGGGCTAGAAGGTCCATTGACAGTGCTTTCTGGAATAATCTGACCCCACTATCCCTTTTACCATGGGACTTCCAACCCAGAAAACTTTATGTAAATTTGAGAAGAGAAAGTGAGGAGGCACAGAGAAGGTCTTAGTCCTTTGCTGGTCAGGGGAGGTGCTTGCTGGTGCATTCCAGAGCTGGCTGCCTGGTAGAATCATAGGATCAGATCCAGGGGTAAAACAGACCTCAAAGGCCATCTAGTCTAATACCCTCATTGTATAGATGAGGAAAATGAGGAACTTAAAGCTGATGTGACTTACCCAAGGTCCCACAGATAGTCAGTGTGGGGCCAGGATTTGAACTATGCCTCCCAAGGGCAGTGAGGTGGTACAATGGATGGAGCACCGGCCTTGGAACAGGAAGACTCATCTTCATGAGTTCAAATCTGGCTTCAGACACTTACTAGTTGTGTGACCTTGGGCAAGTCACTTAACCCTGTTGGCCTCAGTTTCCTCATCTGTAAAATGAGCTGGAGAAGGAAATGGCAAATCAATTCAGTGTATCTGCCAAAAAAAATCCCAAGTAGATTCTGTCACAGAAAGTCAGACACAACTGAAAAATGACTTAACAACAACATTCCTCCTAAGCCACCAGGCCATGTTGCCTCTCAAGTAAGTTGATTAATTCTCTTGTGCCATAGGAAGCACATGCTTTGGGGCTACAATGTGAGGATATGCTTCAAATCAGCACCACGAACACTCTGTGATGGGCTGGAGAACGTCTAGGGGAGGGCAGCCAGGATGGTGAAGGATCTTGAGTCCATGTCATAGAGGGGTCAGCTGAAGGATCTGGCTGTGAATCCTTCCCTGGAAGTCTTCACAAAGCAACTGGAAGACCATGACTTGGGTTTGTTTTTTGAGGAGGTTATTGCTTCTGTATGGGTTAGGCTAGAAGGCCTGGAAACTGTCTTTCTATCTTAAGATTCTGTGGCTCAATACTTTCTGGACCTTAAAAGGATAGAGCCATGCACGCTGAGGCAGCCCATGGCACATGGATAGGTTTAATTGTTAGCCATACCTACTAAGGGAACCAAGCTAGACTTAGGGGGAGGGGGAAATGTTACCAAGTATACATAGCCTAGTAATCAAATGAATGAATTAATGGAGGAATAAAGCATTTATATGCCAGACACTGTACTAAGCACCGTGGAGACAAACAGAACCGTAAGACAGCCGCTGCACTCAAAGAGATTCCATTCTAATGGGGGAGACCACACATAGGAAAGGTTTTGGCCACAAGCCAGATGGAAAAGTCCCATGATCCTTAGGGTGCAACAGCCAGAGAGTGATGCCCCTTCTTCAAGGGCTCTCCTCTCCCCTGCTGGTCTGTTTCCGCTTTCTCTACTACTTTGGACTGTGAGCTCTTGTGTTCTTGACCTGGGCTTAGTAACCTGACATATTATTTGCGTCATTGACCTTCCTGTCTGCTGGCTGCAACAGCTGTACCCCAAATGCCAGTCTCAGGTTTCTGATCCCCAAGTGGTGAAAACTGACTCTGATTCCTTCCTTGGACCATATCCTGACCCGGATTCACCTTCCCCTGTCACAGAACAGGCCAACTAATATTCAGGCAGTCAGTCAACAAGAATTAATCAATTCTGTGTCCCAGGTACTGAATTAAGTGCTAGGGATATGAAGAGAAGTCAAAACACCCCTGCCCTCAAGGGCCTCACAGTCTAACAGATGAGACAACATGCAAACAACTATGTACAAAGATGATACAGGCAGTGTAAAGGGAAAGTAATTTCAGAGAGAAGGAAATTATGGTGGGGAGGACCAGGAAAGGTCTTTTTTCAGAAGGTGACATTTGAGATAAATCTTGAAGGATGCCAGGCAAACCAAGAGGCTAAAGTAAGAAAGCACAGTGTTCACGGCAATTGGCATAGCTAGTGCAAAGGTGCAGAGATGTGAAATGGAAGGTCAAGTTAAAAAAAAAAACCTTCAAGAGGGTCATCATTGCTGCATCGGACAGTGAGCAGTGGAGAGTCAAGCATTAGAATGGGAAGGTCAGATGGGGCCAAGTTATGAAGAGCTTTAAATACCAAACAGAGAAGAAATAAGGTGTTTCCAGGTCAGAAGAAAAGGGACAGATCAGCAAAATCATAGCAATCCGATCAACACAGATCAAACTAACTAATATCATCAGCCCAAAGTAATGAAATGGGCATACTTTACCTCAAATATCATATGGATGTAAGGGGTGAGTTTAATTCTTTCACTATTAGCCAAACAAAGCATCTTATTATCATCCAAAACGGTGTTCATATTTTCAATCCAAAGTGCATCCACTGGCCCATCACTGATAATCCATTTATGATCTTCTGAAGTATCATTCACCGCTGCTCGGACGCTTAGTGCCATCAAACCATCTTTCCACTCCAAGGTTAAATTATTCACTTCCCCATACAGCTCACCCATTGTAATGGACTTTGGATTCAGAACATATGTCTTGACTGGCTGATAAAAGGAATTCTCAATTCCCATCTTATGCAATACCCCTAACGTTTCGGCGAGAACTTGGTAAACCGTGGTCTTTCCACCTCCCGTTGGCCCAACGAGCATAACGCCATGTCTTACGAGCATGGTTTCATAGAACTGTATAACTTTGTGAACCATACAGGGTTCGGGCTGAAGTTTTTGTCCAGTCATGACTTCTATAATTGTCGACTGCAGAATACCATAATCATGTTCAGGAATGAGGACTCCGGGGAAAAGATCAGAAATGATTCCACTGGGAAGAAAAACAAAGAAACAAAACTTAAGCCAATTAGAAAACATGGTTACCCATTTGGATACTTGAATATTTATTTTTGTTTCTTATTGTTTCTATTCTATTTTCACATTTGTAACATTCAAATGGTTAAAAATATTTTTTTTCTCAGTGGTCTCCTTTTTGACTGAACTCTTGGAGCATTTACTTTGAAACACATGACTGCTATGAATGTATTACTATGTGTAATATGGCACTAACAATGTATCATGCTATTTGGTATTGCTTCAGGTATTAGTTTTGTCTTCCCAGCTCCTTGAGGGAGTGACAACATTTGTCTGGTTCTCCCAGTGTCTCCTTAGGTGATGAATGCACAGCATCAGTGTTATGAACTAATACCCTGCTGTCAGAGGACACTAGGCTACCATATTGGGGCCAAACAAAGCATCCTTGCACACACTGATATTCTCATAAGAGAGAAGACGAGCTCCTTCATCAGGTTAGCACATTAAGGGAATGTAGGCCTGTATTTTTTTAAGGGGACTGTCAGTCAGGACACACTACAAGGAACTGACAAAGGCCTCTCTTTAAGACATAAATAATCTCTCTGAATGCTAAAATGAATTGAATAAAAAATAAAAACCATCCCAACAGTGTTGTCCCTCTGTGCAACGAAGACTCTTTGTTATCATTGATCTAGCCCTACATCTCTCAGATGGAGATGTCCCCCCATGAGTCAGTGCACGACTCAAGCTCTTGAGAGATGTAGGACTAGATATTTATATGTGACAGTCATTTATATATGGATAATAATTGAACCTATGAAAGCTGACATTCTCCCTAAGAGGGACAGTAAAGAGATTAAAACTGAGAACCTTCAGAGGGTGATACTGGATAGAGTGGGTCTCAGAGTTTGGAAGACCTGGATTCAAATCCCATCTCTGACATACTGTCTATGTGACCTTGGGTGAGCCATTAACTTTTCAGTGCTCCCAGGAAACCTGCCCTATTGCAAAGCAACTGCCATCTGCTTTGCAGAGAGTTTCCATCCTGGCAGTGCCCTACCTCAGAGAAATTAGAGGTGTGGACCATGTCTATGGAATATATGGAATTCTGCCCTCTAGAAACAGGAGAACTTTATGATCCTATTTTCAAGAAAAACAACTAAATAGAAGACATTTTCCTATTCCATACATGTTTTATTTTCAGTCAACAGAGAGAACAACTATTTTCTTATGTTATTAAAAAAAGAAAATGACTTCATGACATTACCTGAAGAGAAGGGCATCATCTGTAAGAAATTTGGGTAAATTGGAATCTCTCAAGGCTCTTATCAACACAACATCTTCATTTAGATCTGGGTTCTCTCTCTTGAGGGACCTAAGTTTAGGAGACAGAGTCAAAAATGGGGCTGCTGGACTCTTTGAAATCTTAGCTTAAACAAGATATGAGTAGAAAATTAGCAAGGAATATAAAAGTTGGGTTTTTCCCCCTTTTCATGGCTCCAGAGAGCACTGGGTTGTGACTTAAATGAAGCCTGGCATATTAGTGCTGATATGGTCAAATACAGAGAGTTGTGGATGTGTAAATGTATTGTGATTGTTACTAGCACTATTTTGGCTTGAAGTTCAAAAGGGTGGGGTTGGGAGGCCCAGAATGCATGGTGAATAGACTTAGAGCTAAGAACATGTGGATTCAGATCCCACTTCTGACACTTACTAGCTGTGTGACCATGAATAAGTCATTTCATCTATATGAGTCTCAGTTTCCTCATCTGTAAAAGAGGGAGTACCTGTTGTACTGACCTCATAAGACTGCTGAGAAAGTAAAAGTAGATAATGTATGTAAAGCATTTGCAAACTCTAAAGTATTAGATAAATGGCTATAGTTATAATTATTATTATGCATTTACTCTTAGGGGAATGTGGATACACTTGCCATGGTGGAACACAGATAGGATTAAAAAGAATAGGTAAAGACTGTTTACAGAAGTTTTATCTTTCCTGATCCCCCTTAAAGCTAGTGCCTTCCTCCTGAAATTGTCTCCCATTTATCCTGTATATATTGTCTACACATATGTAGTTGTTTGTACGTTGTCTCTCCCATGAGACGGTGAGCTCCTTGACAGCACAAACTGCCTTTTGCATTTCTTTGAATTTCTGCCACTTAGCACAGTGGCTGTCACACGGTAAGTCCTTAATAAATGGTTGGTAGGATAGGACTCCTGGCCTTGGAAGAGGAGACCTTATTCAATAGAAACAGAACAATTAAAAGGGGAAAGTGGAGTAGCTAATGTTATATATTGAGGAGACATATTCATGTAAATAAATCTAGGCACTCTTAGGGAGAAATACATTTTGGAGAGACTAAATGGATGGAGAAACAGAACTGAGACAGTTGTGAGGGTATATTACAGACCACATAGACAGAAGGAGGACTTAGATAAGGAGCTTGGTAAGTATCCCCAATCAGTCATGATATTTAGTCATGGCAACTTTAGCTATGTAGAGAGAAGGTCGCTTTCTTTGTGCCAAAATCAGAACATGTGAAAAAACATGTGACTTGTTTTTCATGATAATTTCACCCTTTGAAAGATGAAACAAATGACTAAGGAACTGCTATTCTGGACCTAAATCTCATCAACTGGTTGCTGAAGTAGAAATACTGGAAGCCTCGTGCTTACTATCCAGGCACTTGGCGGTGCAGTAGATAGAGCACCAGTCCTGCAGTCAGGAGGGTCTGAGTTCAAATCTGGCCTCAGACATTTACTAGCTGTGTGACATCTGGACAAGTCACTGCACCTTGGTCTGCCTCAGTTTCCTTATCTGTAAAATGAGCTAGAGAAGAAAATGGCAAACCATTCCAGTATCTTTACCAAGAAAACCCTAAACAGAGTCACAAAGAGTCAGACACAACCAAAATGATGGAACAACAGCAACACAGAGTTTACTATGTGCCAGGTACTTTGCTAGGTCTGAGAATACTCATTCTATGTGTTAGATTAACCCCAACTGTTTATCATTTGGGCCCTAAAATTCCCTCACATTATGGTCATTTTATTGTATACTTGAAGTTCCTGTAAGGAATGTACTTCAGGAGACAGGGTGGGACAACTGGGGACCATTGGTGAAGATGAGAAAGCAGAGAATAGTTAACCCTCAGGGGTACTGTGTTGGATAGACAAATAGAGGCCCTTTTTGGTCAACTGTGTAGAGCTTCAGGATGGGGTGATACAGCCCATTTTGTGACAGCCTTTGAGTGGGATGGCACACTTAACCATATTGGACCACTTGGGGCCTTCTTACCCAGCCATGACCAAGACAGATTTCACTGCTCTCATGCCAAAGTCATAGTGATCCTGCTGAGAGAGCTGTTCACTGCAAAGTTTATACATTTGAGTCATTTTTCTTGCCAGGATTTTGCTGGATTCAAACCCTTCTGAATATAAAATCACCTAGAACAAAAAAATACATTATGGAATTTCTATTATAATATGCTGATACACTAACTAGCACAGGACTCTAATACTGCCATGGTTCCATGTTTTCTTACTGAGATATTCAATAAAGTCTGCAATATATCTGTGAACTGTTACATCATTTTATAAACAAATGTACAAAAAGATTCACTGTCATGCTCCAAGTCATGCAATAGAAAAGTAGCAGAAATGTTGGCTTCCAGCTCCCTCCTACCTCGAATGACTTAATAGGGTCAGGGATAGGTCTGTGACTTCTTCAATAAAGGGAATTCTTAGATGAGGGAACTTTCAGACTCTATCAGCTAAAAGGGGGTGATTTCTTCTCTTAACTTAGTCTGAGAGAGTTGCCTAGAGCGGAGGGACGTTAAGTGACTTTTCCGGAATTTCACTTTCAGTCTGTGTCAAGGAGGGAAGTCGAACCTAGATCCATGGATTCAGACTTGAAAAATAAAACCATTCCTATACTCAAAGAGTTTGCATTTTACTAGGAAGGAAATTTATATACACATATATATGTGTGTATGAATGTACATGTATATATGTGCATTATGTGTATACAACACGTGTATATATGTATATACATATTATACATGCACATGTACTTATACATTCAAGTAGACATATCTATATATGTCTGTGTATAGAGAAACAAAGAAGGGAGAGAAAGTGAGACAGAGAGAAAGAGAGGGAAAGGAAGAAAGAGAAAGAGAGAGGACAAGAGAAGAGGAGAGATAAGAGAAAGACACACAGAGAGAGAGAGAGAGATGTGATTTCAGTGGTATAAGAAACTCACTCTACCAATGCACACTGCTACCTTCTCTGCAATGTGTACTCTCAGAGTGTGCCTGGAGCACAGAGAAGTTATGTGGGATGTGAACTAAGTCTTCCTGACTCCAGGTCTTGTACTCTGCTCACTGAATTAGCTGCCTACTAGCACCTGAGCCTTTTTTTTTTTTTAGTTCTACTGTAAAGGATAATTAGATCTTAGCTTGAGAGAGACTTGTGCCTTCCTGAAAACCACTGTGGTGTGAAAATATTGACAAAGGGTAGAAAACCTTGAAATTCAATCCACATAGAGTTGTGGAATTTAAGTATGTTACCAATCAATGACTGTAATATGTGTGTATGTATAACAATATTATAAAGTAATATGATAAAGAAAAATTCAGTTTAATCTGATTTTATAGTTGGATATACAAGCCCAAACATGACTCAATATATGTTGTTTAGTCATTGTTCAGTCAAGCACAGCTCTTCGTGACTCCATTTGGGGTTTTCTTACCAAAGATACTGGAGTAGTTTGCCATTTCCCTCTCCAGCTCATTTTACAGATGAGGAAATTGAGGCAAAACAGAGTTAAGTGACTTGCCTACGGTTGCACAGCTGGCAGTGTCTGAGGCTGAATCTGAACTCAGGAAGATTTTGAATGTAAACTCATTCAGTCTTTCTGACTCCAGGCCTGGAGCTTTGTACACAACAGCACCACCTAGTTGCCCCTATCTGCTAACAATCGCTCCCTCTTTATGGTAAGTGAACATCTTTACATGGGAGGAAGAAGGCAGTGGAGAAAGCCCTGGCCTTGGAGCTGAGAAAGCGTGGATTGCAGTCCTGCCTCTGACACATGCTGGCTGTGTGACCCTGGGCAAGTCCCTTGGGACTCCAGGCAAATGTCTAAGACTCTAACTTGCAGAGAGGTGATGACCTGCATTGGTGGAGGGAATTTCCTCTCCTAGGAGTTCTTTATATAGATGAAAACACACGTCCAGTTCTGCTCCGGCCCACATCTAAACATAACAGCTATTTTCATCTTTTCACTTCTCTCCCTACCTTCACCTGCCATCTCTCCTCTCCCTCTCTGTCTCTGTCTCTTCCTTCGTCTCTGTCTATCTGTCTGTCGTTCCCTCTGTCTCCATTCCCCCCCTTCTCTCTGTCTCTGTCTCTGTGTCTTAGTCTTTCCATCTCTCTCTCTCTCGTAATTGCCAAAGGGGAGAACAAACCCAGTGTATCAAAATATCCCAGGAATATCTTCCAAGGAGCTGACAAATACTAATGAAATAGTTGGAAAACAGTAACTTGACTAATGTCCACATTTGCATAAACCTTTGCTGAGTTGGAAACATTTTGCCTAGAAGGGAACAAATTGTAAATGTGATAAAAAGACATGCTGAAAATTCTTGATTTCAATGCTTTGTGCTCAAAATTACACTGATTGTAATGTGAACTCTACCTCTGCGATCAAGGCGTAATTTGGAACCATCATAGCAATTGGTCTAAACAGAGCTTTCAGATTATCAGGTAATTCAGTTCGTCCGGCATAGCCAGGATTCATGGTGATAAATGCTGCACAGGTCATAACCAACTTTATTTCACGTCCCTCAAACATAAATCTGAAGAGCTGTTGGGAAAAAATGGAGAATTCCATTAATATTTTTGCTTCAGACTTTGGAAAATCTCCTTCAAATAATGTTAGGAAGTTCCTAATATTGGGCGTCACCATCACCTTTCCTTGGTAACTAGCCCCTCACTACTACCGCATGGAAGGACTCCTTGGGTTAATGTCAGCGGGGTCGAGCACTAAACAACTGTTTGATGGGCCAATCACTTTTACTTCTGATGTGTGAAATGGGAGATCTATTCTTAGAATATTCCTCCTAAGGTCATTCTCTGCTTGAAAGTAGGTAATAAATAAGCAATATCTGTAATAGAATCTTTTAGCTATTTGAAGACAGGATGGTAATATGCCCTTTCCTTTGGGTGTTCAGCACTAGCTGGAAGGATAAGTCTTGGAGAAAGGCCTTGTGCTTGGATTTATTATCTCTTTCTCTGTCTCTCTGTCGCTGTCTCAGTCTTTGTCTCTCTCTCTTTCCTTTCCTTTTCTTTTTTTAAGGGCAGGACCCACTAAAGTAAAAACTGCCTTGCCCCTTTAAATGGAATGATATTTTAAAAAATGGAATTGGTGACCACAGAATCTGGGATAGAGCTTAGAAGGCAGAAGTTTTGATTTTGCACCAGCTCTTAGGGGGAAACCAAGAAACAAGCTAGAGAGATCTCAGAAAAGGGAAGGCAATTTTTGCCAGACTCAAGGATATATGACTTGGCTTTTCTTTCTTTTTAAACAATAATTTTTATGATGAACTAATTTTCTTTCTTTTATTGCCTTTGCTACAAAATTAGCAGCAATTACAACAAATGACTAAACAAAATGAGAACTACAGTCTTAAATAGAGCCATAAAATTCAAATGATTTACATTTTGAGAAAACATATAAAACTAAACAAATAGCAGGAATAATATATTTTCTCTCAAAAATCATTAATCCAAAATTAAGGGAAACACCAAGAAATAATCTATGGTAAATATAGCTGATAAAAACCTGACATCCAGAATAAATAAGAAATAAGCATTTAAGAGTAAGAGTCCTTCCTCAGTAGGTACATGGCCAAAGAATATGAGCAGATGATTTTTAAATAGCCATTAATCATAATACTTATAATAACTGCTAAAACTTTCCCCCTTTTTTGTCTTGATGTTTGGGGTTTGGCGTTACTAGGCTGGGAGACCTTTTTCAAAGATACCTGGAGGAGGTACTGATTTGACATCGAATTCTCTCATCTTTGCAAGAGTGCATGTGGGGGACACCTAGGTGGCACAATGGATAGATTACTGGCCCTGGAGTCAGGAGGACCTGAGTTCAAATCTGGACTTAGACTTGACACTTAACTAGTTGTGTGATCCTGGGCAAGTCACTTAACCTCAACTGCCTTGCAAAAAAAAAAAGAAAAAGAAAAAAAAGAGTGCATGTGGGTCTGTGTCTTCAGGGCTATTGTTTAAATTCATATTCCCAATTTGCACGAGCTCTTTTCGATAGATCTAGGTATTGAAAGTGCTTTCTAGTCCTCATTAAATTCCCTTGTATTTCTCCTGAGGAAAGTTGGGCTTGTCTTATATAGATTCAGGTCACCGTGATATTCTAATTGGCCTCATGTAACATGCCGGGACTTCCTGGCTGGGAAGGTTGTAAAAGTGGGATCTAGATACTTTCTACTGGAATGTTTTTAAGCAAATCATCACTAAAACACTACATACTTATCTGCCAAAAAATTATGCCAGAGAGAACAGCTGGTGAACCAACAATCAATCTTGCTACATACTTGGGAATATTTTCCACCTCACAGTATCCTATCTCTTCTTTCAGCCTTGTGCCCCCTTGAGTTGGGTAAATCTTCATTACCCAAACCACTTGGTCCCAACCTCCTCAACGAAGTTCCAGTTTAATGACTATGAATCCTCTTCTGCCTAATCTTCCCAACCTTGCTCTATGTCATCCCACTCTGGTCAAGGCTTAAGCAACCCCTCTCCTTGATACTAGCCCCTCACCACTACCTCATGGAAACACTCCTTGGGTTAGAAGTCAGGAGGCTTCTAATCTTGGTTCCAGCTCTAAACAACTGTTTGATGGGCCATTCACTTTAACTTCTGTGCCTTGATTTCTGCATATGTAAAATGGGAGATCAATTCTTAGAATATTCCTCCCAATGTCATTCTCTACCTGAAAATACTATCTAAGAATAATTCTTAACAGTCCTGACAAACATCTTCTTTACTACTATATGCCCTCTTTGGGTTGCCTTCTGCCCATTCAATCCATATTTCTGCTTGTACAAGACCTACCTGCCAGGGTTGTTATAAGGATCTAATGAGATAAAATTTGTAAAGCACTTAACACAGTGCCTAGCA